TTAAAAATATAAATTCTTTTTAAAAAAATTTAAATTTATAAAATATAAATAATATAAAAAAATTAAAACATAAAAGATTAATCCAAACATACCCTAACCTGAGCATAAGTATCTAAGGATTCGATTCCACTAGGCTTGTTACTTCTACGGAAAGCGGCAGAGTCTGCAATCTTTTGTCTAGGCCTGGGCAAAAACCGGTTTCAGGCTAAACCGAAACTGATTTCAAATTAACCGATTTTTTTTTATCAATTTTAAGAACCGAAACCGAACCGAACTTCTTTTTTTTTTCGGTTCGGTTGCCAATTTAATCAGTTATTTCACATTCAAATTCGGTTTTAACCGAAAATACATCAAACACTATATTTTTTTTTTCCAGATAACAGATTATAAATCATTCCATACTTAGTCAAAATTTAGCATTTTTTACATAATAACATAAAAATATCAATATAGACAAAAAAAAAAAAAAACATACATGGTGTAATTTTTAAATTCAAAAAAATCAAAATTCATTAATAAATAATTCCAATATACCATGCAAAATACTAGAAATCCAAAACACAATATTACATTCATTCCATCATCCAAAATTGAAGATTACATTGACCAGACAAAGTAATAACAAAAAATTACAGAACTTGCAACCATAGTTTCTACTTATCAACAATCTAGAGTGATGGATGACTACACCAACCTAATTACACTATCTATCAAATAACAATTAAAATATATGCATCCATTATCAGGATATTAACAAAAAGGAAATGAGATGCAACTTCCACTTTGCAATTGGTCATTTGTGCATTTTTCTGTAATGTAAGCAAAGGCATACGTAGATGTGAGGCTGTCCAAACAAAGCAGCAACTTGAGCAAGTTAAAGCTGTGCAAAAGACTGCAAATCTCCAAGTGAATGAAGCTGTTCAAAAAAGTCAATAAGCTTCATTGCATTGATTCTTTACAGCTGCAATATGGGTGTGATATACTGATATGAACAAAAGGATCCCAAAAACACCTCCACCGTATATATACAAGAATCTATTTGATGGACAAAGAAGAAAACAAATTATGAGGTTAACAGAAGCAAAGACATGAATCCAGCAATTGTAAAAAAAAAAAGTAATCCAACAATTATAAGAAAAAATTAATATGTTGCCCATATGAATCTAACAATCCAACAATTATAAAAATAAAACAATACAACAATTAAGAAAAAACCACTCCAGCAATTAAGAAAAAAAAATCCAGCAATTAAGAAAAAAAAATCTAACAATTATAAGAATAAAACAGTTCAGTAATTAAGAAAAAATCAATCTAACAACTAAGAAAAAAGCACTTCAGCAATTATATATATAAAAAAAGCAATCCAACAATTAAGAAAAATACAATCCAGCAAAATACAATCTAGCAATGAAGAAAAATACAACCCAGCAAAATACAATCCAACAATTAAGAAAAATATAATCCAGCAACTAAGAAAAATACAATCTAGTAATTAAGAAAAAATCAATCCATATAAATATTAGAATAGAACAATCCAGCAATTAATAAAAAATCAATCTAGCAATTAAGAAAAAAAACAATTCAGCAATTATAAGGAAAAAAATAATATGCTACCAGTACCTAGTTAATTCCAACATGATGAAATTAATTAAAAATGAGTGGGATTACTTTACCTACTACCATAACACCAAAGACTAAATCTTCAAGCCATTCATTCTAGAATGGCAAAATCCATGTGCACTTTGTCAAATTCTACAAACAGTAGAAGAGCAGAGTCAATTCATGTTTAAAATGTTAAATGAAATAAAAGAAATTAGTGTTACAAGATCATACCTTTCTCGAGATCGTCCAACAGATCCAAGTCTTCCTCTTCCGAAACTATTCTCGATTTATTTCGCAACCAGTCTTGGGCACAAATAAGGGCTTGTGCCATTCTTGGGGTTAGAGATGATCTAAAAGCATCAAGAACTCTCCCTCCCGTGCTAAAAGCCGACTCAGAAGCAACAGTTGAAATCGGAAAAGCCAGAACATCTCTGGCCATTGCTGCCAAGACAGGGAACCTTGGAGCATTCAACTTCCACCATCCAAGTAAGTCAAAATCATCATTATCATCCTCAACATCCTCTCCCAAATACTTATCTAGCTCAGTTTTCTCCGACATGAACCCATTCTCAATTTTGAACCTCTTGTAAGCAGACTTAAGTTGTTGCCTACTCTTATACTTGGACTCACTCTCACTAGGGGCATTACTAGCACTAGTACTACCCTCCAGAACTACAGTTTGCCCACCACCAGAAACTGTTTTCTTATATTCAGCAAACAACCTCTTCAATTCACAACAAACCATTTTACCATGTTGCATTCCTTGTTCTTTACCATACACTTTTATCAATAAAAATTCAA